CCCCCTCAGAGCACTGCTTTACCGCATTATATCCAAATTTGTGTTATATCAGGTCGCGTTATATCGGGGTAGAGGTGTACTACAAAACTGTAGAATGCTACTTATAATGGGTTACGTAAAATAACATGAAAAAGGTACTCTAAGAAAACAGTACCCCAACTTGAGTAAGCAATAGATCCTCCTCTGACACTACCTGGCAGCACTTAATTTTGAATCCAGGATCTTGCAGACTTGGGGGTTCAAACCTAGCAGCATTGGGATCACCTTAATATGGAATGTCCAGTCTTAGAGATGGAGTTTGCCACCCTGCACCACACTGGCAGCATAGGTTGGATACAAACATTTTCTAAGTGGTTTGGGGATTCTCACCCAAGCACAAGTGTGAGCGTGCAATGGTCTACAGCCGTCTACGAGGCTGTACATCACATGTCCTCTTTGTTGTAAGTGTAGATGAGAAGGGGGCATGGCTACCAAAAAGGAGGAGTGATTGTGATGACATTGCACCATACTAGCTGTCCTAAGCCTGCTGCTGTTCTGCACCTCAGGCTGCTGTAACATGGAATACATAGTTGAGGGCGTGCACAGAGTAGCACCAGAAATATACTGGGAACTAAACGGTTCTTTTGTCTAGCAGAGAAAGGCAGAACAAGAACCAGTGGCTGGAAGCTGAAGCCAGACTCACTCAAGTTAGAAATTAGGCACAAATTTTTAGCATTGAGGGTGGTTAACTGTTGGAACAAACTTCCAAGGGAGATGGTCAACTCTCCATCTCTCAATGTCTCAGATACAAACTGGAGGCCGTTGTGGAAGATCTGCTTTAGCCAAACCTAAATTATTTGGCTCAATATGGGGTAGCTTGGTGAAATGTAATGGTCTCTGATATGCAGGAGGCCAGACCAGATGATCTAGTGGTCCCTCCTGGCCTTAAAACTCTAGGAATCAGAACACCACAAGCAGGGACTTTATGCCAACATTGTACGCTAGTCCTGATTCCCATTGTATGCATTTTGTGAATTCCTGAGGATCTAGTTTTGGCCGGTGTCTACTCTCTTGTGTCTTCTTAGTTCCATATACCTTAACACTGGGACTAATTTGCCACTGCATTATACCAGTTTTACTCATAATTCCATGGAAGCCAATGGAATTATCCCAGCAGGTCACACTGCTATGATGCAGTGGAGAATGTGCCCCATGGTAAATTTTCTGAGGTTCTAAGAGAACAGGCTGGGAATTCCTCAATATCTCAGGTATCAGAGGGGTAGCCGTGTTAGTCTGAATCTGTAAAAAGCAACAGAGGGTCCTGTGGCACCTTTAAGACTAACAGAAGTATTGGGCGCATAAGCTTTCGTGGGTAAGAACCTCACTTCTTCAGATGCTCCCAATACTTCTGTTAGTCTTAAAGGTGCCACAGGACCCTCTGTCAATATCTCAGGGCTCTTGAAAGGAAACATAAAACCATTGTTTATAAAGCATGTAGATGACACAAATATTGCTTGGGTGATCATTAATGATAATTAGCGATGAGCAATCTGGGTCACTTGGTAAACTGGGCACGGCCAAACATATGTTTTAATATGGCCAAACACAAGGTCAGACAGGTAGGGACAAAGGTAGGTCACACTTGCAGGTTGGGAGACTGTGTCCTGGAACGCAGTGACTCTGAAAAGGATTTAAGGATCATGGCTGGTGGAAACCAACTGTACGTGAACTCCCAGTGCGATGCTCTAAGAGGGCTAATGCAGTTCTTTGATGTAGAAAGAGAGAAATATCGAGTAGGAAGATTATATTAGCTCTGTAAGAAGCCTTAGTGAGACCTTGACTGGAAAACTGTGTGAAATTCTGACTTCATTTAAGTATATGGCAACACTACTATTGACTTCAGTGGAGCCAGGATTTTACACCCCGTGTCCAGTTCTAGTGTCCACATTTTAAAAGGGATGTTGAAAAATTGGAAAGGGCTTAGAAGAACCAAGAGATTGATTCAAATACTGGAAATGAGAGACTTACGGAGCTCAGTCTATTTAGCTTATGAAAAAGATTAGGAGGCTACTTGATTATGATCTGTAAATTCCTAAATGGGAAGAAAAATAGTAGAGACCCCTTGTTAATCAAGCAGAAACCAAGGGCTGGAAGTTGAAGCAAGACAAATGCAACTTGGAAATAGACACTAATTTTGAACAAGTGTAATTAACCATTGGAACAGCTTCCCAAGGAATGTGTTGGATTGTCCAGCACTTGAAGTCTTTAAATCTAGATCAGATGTCTTTCTAAAACATATGCTCTTCAGATGATGAATTAATTACAGTGTGAAATTCTCTAGCTTGCATTATACAGGAGGAGAAGTTACATGGTCCCAGTAGTCTCTTTTGGTATCTCTCTTAGTACCCATCTTACTTGTAGTACCTCTGTGCAGCATACGACTTCAAAGGGGTTTTATGTCCTTAATACAAAGAGAGGAAAAATTTTCTTTTCTTTACGTTTTTAAAGCCCTATGTGATTTATTTAGATTGTATGTATCTTTATGTACACGTGGCCTTTACAAAATGAACCTCATGTAATTGTGCATGTAAGTTCAGGTGCCCCAAGTTTACATTCTCACACAAATCAGGTATCTCCCTGTGCACCTGGCCAGTTCTGTGCCAGTTGGCAATATGCATGCACAAACACCTGGTTTATGCACATAAGTTAGGTGCTTGCAAATCTATTGCATAATTTATCTGGAAAAATAAACAGTTGGTTTTGCCTTTTTCTCCTTAGTCTGTCCCCAATGATCTGAGCAATGATACGAGTTTCACAGAAAGTCAAAGTCCCAAAAGGACCGAGAAAGCATCACATATTGCTGTCGTCCTACAGCAGCTCCTGGAGCTGGTAGATCGTTACTGGGATGGAGCTGGGTCCCTCCTCCTCAACAAGAATTTTCTTGGTAAGTTATTTCATTTGAATTTGAATGAATAGTCTAAGTCTGTTTTTGTCTCTCCTGTACCGATCCTCCCAGGCGACCTGAAATGCTTTGGCTTAAACATCAACTGCGTTCTCCCAATTGGCATTTGCGGATCTTTGTCATTTGGATTTCACTTGGTGCAATTTCTGGCTCAAAGGGTAACTTTTCCTGCAGTCCCTTCCTGTTACAAAGTGGTAGCTCCCCATCCTGGAGAATTCTCTTAAGATGTGATAATGTTTCATGTATTGCTGAGCAGTAAGTAATGTTTTCTGTGACTCTGAGGTGTGGTTTTCCTTACAATTGCTGCACAGTATATGCTGTGCAGGTGTAGTGCATAATAGACGTGCAAGTCAAGAAAAGCTGCAGTTCACAAAAGGAGCTAACAACCACTTTAGGCACCTAAATCCCAGAATCAGGCCCCAGGGGGATTCACAAAACTGCTGCTCAACTGCCCCCAAGCCTTGTAGGCTCCTAAAATAATCACTCAGCACCTATATTTTTGCAGTAAGAGTTCCCTAGGTGCCTACGTTTTTACCTCTGTGCACTCACACTGCAGCCACATGCCAGACATCTGGAAGCCTAAGCCCCAGTATGATGCATGAGCTGGGGGAAGAGAGGGATTCTTCTACCTAACTCGCTTGCAGAGCCTGATCTGGTAAGCGTGCTCAGACCTCACCTACCGGACTGGGCTCTGTGATGGGGTGCACTCCCCACACTGGGTCGGAGAGGGCCCAATCAGCCAACTGAGCAGCAAAAGAGGGCGATATAGGCTGAGTGGAGAACCTTGGTTAGAGGGAAGCTCACCTGAGTAGAGGGGGGCTGGGCTAGTATGAACCCAGGAAGCTGGCAGCAGCAAAGGCTGCTGAGAGGAAGTTTGCAATCACCCACTGTTTAGTAGAGAGGGAAGGAGGGAACCCAGCAAAAGAGTAGGACCCTGGGGGCCTGGCCCAGCCCGGAGGGAAGGCTGTACCCCGAAGAGAGCAGCATGGGAAAGAGAGCCTGTGGGACACAGGATAGGAAGCAGCCCAGGGAGTAAGCAGCAAGGTTGGGGACTGAACAGACCTTGGCTGTGAGTCGTGTAGAGGGCAGGCCTGGATTTCCCTACCTGCCACGGCGGAAGTGGCATCATGGGTTAGTGAAAGGGAAGACTGCTGGTGAGAAGGGACTTTGATACACACCCCAGAAGGAGAAACTGCACGGGGACCTGGCCAAAGTGCCGAGTCATGAAGAAGCAGCAGCAGCTCCTGGAGTGAGAGAAAGATTGGAGACCAAGAGATATGGCATGCAACTGCAGTGAGGGATCTTGGCCACACAGAGCCAGGCCCGCTGACAGAAATTCCGGGCCCCAGGACCAGGGCCAGAGCTGTCTCTAGGGGGGCAGGGCCCAGGGCAGAAGTGACAAATCTGTCACTTCCAGGACTGCCTGCGCTGGCCAGTCGCACCAGCCCATGGAGCCCCGCAAAGCGTGGGGCCCCCAAAGCGCAGGGCCCAGAGCAGTTGCGTGTGCCTAGGAGCCCTGCGGCCTGCCTGGGCGATTTAAAAGGGCCTGGGGCTGGCGGCAGCGGACGGGAGCCCCCAGGCCCTTTTAAATTGCCTGGGCCCCTGGGCAATTGTCCCCTTTGCCCCCTCTGTCGGCAGGCCAGGAGGAGGTGCCATCTTGCAGTGAGTAGAGTGCCCCATCACAGGCTCCTATACGTGAACTCACACAAAGCAGCTGGTGGAGAAGGTCCTACCTTAATGTTTAGGGTACTCACCCGGGATGTGGGAGAGCCCGGTTCAAGTCCCCCCTCTGCTTAAGAGGGAGCGGGGATTTGAACAGCAATCTGCCACCTCTCATGTGAGCGCCCTCACCACAGGGCTGTAGGATACTCCAACAGGGGGACTTCCTCACTGGAGTTCTGACACTGGATCCTAGTTCCTCCACCTCCCCCGAGGGTGCTCTGATCACCAGGCTATAGGGTCATGGTCATGCTCTGTTTCTCTGGCCCAATGATCCTTTCGTTATTTATCCAGCGTGGAACAGATTCAGCATTGTGCCGGAGAGAAAGAGAGAACAGGTGAGCATGAGAATAACCCTGTAGCTTGGTGGGTAAAGAACTCATGTGAGAAGTGGGACACCCAGGATTCAGTCCCCCTGCTCCAATGACTTTTTAAATTATGTATCCAGAGTGGAACAGCTTCAACAGGGAACTAACTCCAGCCCAGAAAATCCCATGGCCCAGTGGCTCGGGCAGTCACCTGAGACATAACAGATCCATGTTCAAATCCTTTCTCCCTCTCAGGAAGAGGTGAGACTGGAGCTAGGGGGTCTCCCATGTTCCAGAAGAGTACCTTAACCACTAGGCTAAAAGTTATGCAGGAGCACCTGCACCCCAGCTTCTTGCTAGAATCGTGTAAGCACCTAATGCCAAGAGAGGGTTCACACCTGACAATCCCAGGCAGAGAGAGGCACCTCCCTGCAGCCTAGATTTAGGTACCTATCTCTGTGAGGGGCAGAGCTTAGCACAGAACCCTTGGCATCTCACACTGGGTATTTTAGACAAGGAGTTGCCTAGCACACTGGCTTTTGTGAATCCTATTCTCAGGCATCTGTGTCTCCCCATTCATTGTATAAGGAACCTGGGTGCGGAACTCAGGCTTTGGGAATCCCAGTGATTTTCCAGTCACTTAAAAATAAGGTGTGACGATGCTCAGAATCACCCTTCTTAAGCTCCTCTGTGAATCTAATCCTTAGGGACTGTCAGGGTTCCCGCCCCACTCTGAACTCTAGGGTACAGATGTGGGGACCCACATGAAAGACCCCCTAAGCTTATTTCTACCAGCTTAGGTTAAAAACTTCCCCAAGGCACAAATTCTTCCTTGTCCTTGGACGGTATTGCTGCCACCACCAAGTGAGTTAGACAAAGATTCAGAAAAAGGACCACTTGGAGTTCCTGTTTCCCCAAAATATCCCCCCCAAGCCTCTTCAACCCCTTTCCTGGGGAGGCTGGAGAATAATATACCAACCAAATAGGTAAACAAGGTGAGCACAGACCAGACCCGTGGGTTTTTAGGACCCATCAGATTCTTAAACGCAGAACTTTATTATAAAGAAAAAAGTAAAAGAAGCACTTCTGTAAAATCAGGCTGGAAGGTAATTTTACAGGGTAATAAGATTTAAAACACAGAGGATTCCCCTATAGGCAAAACCTTAAAGTTACAAAAAACAGGAATAAACCTCCCTCTTAGCATAGGGACAATTCACAAGCTAAAACAGAAGATAACTGAACGCATTTCCTTGCTATTACTTACAATTTGTAAACTTAGATGCTTATTTCAGATATGGCTTTAGGAGATGTATTTTTCCTGCCCTGGTCCCTCTCTGTTCCGGAGAGAGCAACAAAAGAGACAAAACAAAAACCTTCCCCCACAGATTTGAAAGTATCTTCTCCCCTTATTGGTCCTTTTGGTCAGGTGCCAACCAGGTTATTTGAGCTTCTTAACCCTTACAGGTAAAGGAGGGATTTTATGCTACCCTTAGGTGTATGTTCATGACAGGTACCAACCAGTATGTCAGAGCTAAACTGTCCAACATTTTAGAATTCATGCCTTTTCTACAGATGTGATACTGTCAAATGTCCAGGTGTATTGATACTTAGAGCTGGTCAGGAATTTCTCAACTAAGCATTTTTCTATCACAAAATTGCCATTTTGTTAATGTTTGGAGGGAAAATGTTTCTAATTTGTCAAAATGGGACATTGACATTTTCTAAATGAAAAAGTTCCAGGTTTTGGTTCAAAATGATTTTTGGGTTCAAAATACTATAAACTAAGTACATTTCAAAATTTAAATAAAAAAGCTTTTCAAACAAAAATGGTTGAAGTCTAAATAAACTGATTTGAAATTATTGAAACAAACAGGAACTGATTTATTTCTGGGGGAGATTTTCAGTCTGAAAATTTTTGAGATTGACTTTTCATCCTGATTCAAGGCCGGACATTTTTTCAAAATCTTGAAAGTTTCCCCATATGGGAAAAACCATTTCCCACCTAATGCTATTGATACTGTCACTAAACAGGAACCCAATGCTCTATTTTTCAGACTCTGCTTTTCCAACCCATTTGTTTTTCTATAGCTCCAGCCCAAGATTTGCTTTTGTATCTTATGGCCTCTACCCCTCCACAGAAGGATGTTCACCTACCAGGTGGGGATAGCCCATCAGTCTTAGCTGGAAATGCTCCCAAACTTCAAAGGACCCAGGTGAAGTATGCTGAGCCATTTGACAGAGCAAACATGGCTTTGGTAGGTGTTTTCCTTCCCTTCCCATGCCTGTCTCATATGGAAACAAGGAGATGAACTTTTCAATAAGGAAAACTTCCTTGTAACATAAAAATCCAAAACTGATCATCAGTACAGCTCATTACAAAGAGGTGTAAATGACACACAAATTGCCTTTTTGTCTGCATTCAAGTGGGATTTGTATTCCTTGAGTCCCACAGTACTGTAGATCAGACTAGACCTCCTGGGAAGTGTCAGTACAGTGGAAGTGTCAAATGTGAGCACATTTTTACTGACAATGCCTTGTGAGAGAAGGATCTATCTTGGATGTGCCTCTGGTGGTTCGAGAGTTATGGTCTTGCATTTGATTTACAATGTCATTTGTTTGTTAAAGGGACATTGTCAGGGAAAAGATGTATATTAAAAATCATCCCTGATCTAAGTCACTAATACCATTTCAGGGGGCAAATTTTCAAAGGCACAAAAGCAGCGAGGCACTCAGCTCCCCCTAAAAGTCATTAAGCTTTCAGCTCCCATCTGCCTTTCATGCCCGGGAAAATCTTCCTCCAGATTATTAAAAATGAAAGAATTAAAAATAATAATTTATCATGTATGTGGTTTGCTTAGTTTTTGCGCTTCATGCAGTGTGACCAGTGAAACAGACTAGTCACTTTTACCTTTGTAGCCAGATGGTTTCATTTTCTGCTTCTTTTGCAGCAGTGCACTAATGACAGTAATAGCCATCACTTTACATATCAGTTTTCATCTTCAGAGCAGTCTACAAACATCAGTCCAGACCTCATCCCTTTGAGCAAGTTAACACCCTGTTACAGAAGGAGAAACTGGGGCAGAGAGGTTTTGTGACTGGCCCAAAGCAAAGGGTAAATCAGGGGCAGGGCCCATGCTCAGGCTGAGAGACCACACTGTCTTGCAATGCTGCAGTGTTCAGGTTGCAGACACTGCAGGGGAAATGTTTATATCCAAAGTTAAAACCTGTTTTCAATTAAATCCTTTAAACAACGTATAGAAAACATTTCAGTTTAAATCCGGTTCCTGACAAAACTTTGAACTATCTGCCAGTGTCCCTTAAGTGCCTTTTGTATTTTATTGGTTTTTAAAGTATTTATTTGGAAATGGCAGAACTCCCCCACACTCTGTTAATGGCTGAGAGCGCCATTTTCCTTTAAGAACGCATTTCAGCCGAGTCTTTAAAAGGCTAGGTGTATTGGCTTTGGGGAAGAGCACAGCCGCACTGCCCCCATTTGCATTCATCACTGCACAAAGGGCCTGATATAATGACCATCAAAACCAATGGAAAGACTCCTATTGGCTTTGACAAAGAGGAGTCCTCGTGGCACCTTAGAGACTAACAAATTTATTTGGGCATAAGCTTTCGTGGGCTAGAACTTACGTCATCAGATGCATGGAGTGGAAAATATAGTAGGCAGGTATAAATATACAGCACATGAAAAGATGGGAGTTGCCTTACCAAGTGGGGGGTCAGTGCTAACGAGGCCAATTCAGTCTAAATGGATGTGGCCCATTCCTAACGGTTGACAAGAAGGGGTGAGTATCAACAGAGGGAAAACTACTTTTTGTAGTGACCCAGCCACTCCCAGTCTTTATTCAGGCCTAATTTGATGGTGTCAAGTTTGCAAATTAATTCCAGACTTAAAAGTGGCCATTCTTCAACAAAAAAACCCTTCAAAAACAGACTCCAACGAGAAACTGCAGAACTGGAATTAAGCTTATGCCCAAATAAATTTGTTAGTCTCTAAGGTGCCATGTTGTTTTTGCTGATATACTAACCCGGCTACTCCTCTGAAACCTATTGGCTTTGGTGGACATTGGATCAGACTGTAGGAAAATATTTAATTTCTCTTAACATGTTTTGATTTTTCAACCGTTTTTGTTTTGTCAAATTCCGGACTGTGTGAAGCAGCAGCAAGCCAAGGGGCAGGAGGAGAGCCATGGGTCATCTTCCCAGTTACAGGAAGTGGACTACACTGCTGCTTCTAATTATTGCTTCAGTGGGACTCACTCACTCACTTACGGTAGGTTCACAAGGCTTGGTTTTGGCTTATTATATGGAATAGGATTGTGTCTGAATTATTCTTTTCTCCTTGCCGGTAAGTGCTGTTATTGCAGCTCTGAAGAATTAGAAATAAGTCCAAGTGTTTGTTTAGATGCTGCTCAACACTAATACCCTGAGAAATGAAGGATCTGTTTTCAGCCAGAAAGGCTGTTCCATCTAATTAGTGGTGTTGTGATGGTTGTCGGGGTGCCCAGGACTGTGAGTCACTGTTACCCCCCTGCCTCTAGCCTGAGGGAGTCTTGCTTGTGGTAACTGGGTGTTAACTTTCAGCCACTCACGCGTTCTCCCCTGGGCTATGCCAGCCCTGGTTATGCCAGCCCTGGCTTCATCTTGCAGGTGAACAAGAGGGGCACTCCAGTCCCCGAGTCCTCTTGAAACATCCCCCTCTGATAACCAGCCCCTGCCAGAGGCTACTCATAGAAATCCCAGATCTTCTGCTCCCAAAGGAGTAGCTTACTAATTTTACCTTAAATCACTGCTCCTGTCTACCACACAGCACTTGTAATAAAACAAGAAAAAGGTGGAACTCCTTGCCAGAGGATGTTGTGAAGGCCAAGACCATAACAGGGTTAAAAAAAGAACTAGATAAATTCATGGAGGATAGATCCATCAATGGCTATTAGCCAGAATGGGCAGGAATGGTGTCCCTAGCCTCTGTTTGCCAGAAGCTGGGAATGAGCGACAGGGGATGGATCACTTGATGATTGTCTGTTCTGTTCATTCCCTCTGGGGCACCTGACATTGGGCACTGTCAGAAGACAGGATTCTGGGCTAGATGGACCTTTGGTCTGACCCAGTAGGGCCATTCTTATGTTCTTTATTTAAGAAGGAATAGAGATTCAGCTATAAACAAGAGTGTGATAGAAACAAATAAACAAATGTAAAACATGAACTAGGGGCTACACTTATTTATGAGTTAGGAAAGGTACCTATTAAGTAGGTTCTTCTTTGAGTGATTGCACATGTCCAGTCCACTGTAGGTGTTTGTGCACTGGAGTGCACAGTTGGCAGAGAGTTTTTACCCTTAGCAGTATCTGTTGGGACAGCCTGAGCACCCTCTGCTGTTGCACATCACGCAGGTATAAAGGGCCGAGCTGCCCCAGGCCCTCCTCAGTTTCTTCCTACCTCCTGTGATAGTTGTTGGAGCGCCCTATCCTTGCTTCTGCAAGTCTCTCTCAATACCTGTATATGATTCCCGTCTATAGTTAGTTAAAAAAAGAACCCGGGTGGCCCGGCCTGGACCCAGCCACAGCGGCCCGGCCCAGCCCAGCCCTGTCACAGAGTGCCCCTTCCCAAACCCAACCCCAGCCCAGATCTGTTGCAGCCGAGGCACCCCACCCTGAACCGAGCCCCGGCCGGACCTGCAGGGGCCAGGCGCCTATCCTCTGGCCCCAGCCCCAGAGCTGCCGTGGCAGGGAGAGGCGCCTCCCCACCCCCCGCCCCAGGTGCTGCTGCGGGGAGAGAGAGCTGCGGGGAGTCCTCTCTTCCTGCCATAGTCCCGGAGCACCCTCCTGCACCCCAAACCCCTCATCCACGGCCCCACCCTGGAGCCTGCACCCCAGCCGGAGTCCTCACACCCCTGCCCCCCAACCCTCTGCCCCAGCCCTGAGCCCCTCATCCCTGGCCCCACCCCAGAGCACACACCCCCAGCCGGAGCCCTCACACCCCTGCACCCTAACCCTCTGCCCCAGCCCTGAGCCCCCTCCCACACTCCCAACCCCTCGGCCCCACCACATTAATTTTGTTATGGGCACCAATATGAAGGTGATGTGTCAAACCACCTCCATATTGGTGCACATAACAAAATTCATTCTGCACATGTGTGGGAAAAATTAGGTGGGAACACTGATAATGAGTCTTGATAAGTTAAGAGTTTTATGTAGATACCTTACATGTTGCCTCTTATGAACAAATACCCTACAAGACCTCTGTTCGGTCTAGTGAGTTTCTCAGGTCTGAGGGACTGTCACAGGCATCTAACGTGATTTAGTGCATACAAATATTACCACTGCACAACTAATGAAGCATTATGCTGATGACCAGCTGTGTCACATGTGCCCCTTCTGGGGCACATCAGAGGATTGGGCAACCAGAACAAGATTGCTATAAATGTAGGGATCAGGAAACACATTAGAACAATACCACCAGAGGACAGACACTCTGAGAACCCTAGGACCTCCCTAATTCCTGTCAGGACTAAGTGAAGGAATACCTTTCCACATATCAGATAGCTTTGACCTGTCTCTATCCCACAGAGGATAATGCACCAGACGGCAGTGGGATTAAGCTTAAACTCATGCTCCCCAACATGAGATCAGTGGCCAGTAATACTGGTAGTAGCCACAATCTCATCTCAGGCAGATTCATAGATGAAGGCTAGAAGGGTCTGACCATCCAATCTGACCTTCTGAAGCAGGCCCTAGAATTCTACCCAGTGAGTCCTACTTCTAACCCAACAATTTGTGGTTGAACCACAGCATACATTTTAGAAAAACATGCAGTCTTGACTTAGACTTCAAATGATGGAGAATTTACTACATCCCTTGGTACTCTGTTCCAATGATTAATTACCTTTGCTGTTAAATTTGTCTTATTTACAATTTGACCTTCACTGACTTCAACTTCCAGCCGTTGGATCTTGTTCTGCCTGTCTGCTAGACCACAGAGTCCTCTAATATCAGAAAGTCTTCTTTCGTAGGTACTTACAACTCATCATTAAATCACCTCTTCTCTTTAATAAGCGAAATAGATTTAACCCCTCTAGCCTCTTGCTGTAAGGCATGTTTTCCAGACTTCGAACCGTTCCTATAGTTCTTCTCTGAGCTCTCTGCACTTTTTCACAATATACAACATCCTTTTAGAAGTGTGAAAACCTGAACTGGACACACTATCCAGTAATGGCCTTACCGATGTCATTCATAGAGGTGATGCCACAACCGTGCTCTTGCTAAGTATTTGCCAGTTAATATATCCAAATATTCTGCTAGCCCTTTTTTAAGCACAGTATCACACTTAACAGGGCCGGCTCCAGGCACCAGGCACCCAAGCTGGTGCTTGGGGCGGCACCTGGAGGGGGGCGGCG